AAGAGTTCTGCTCATATAGGGTCTGCTGAGAAGGAGCCTGCTGAGATGGGATCTGCTCAAGTGTGCTCAAGTGTAGCTTTGTCCTCCCATGGAGGCTGTTCAGAAGGAGTCTGCTGAGCTGGGGCCTCCTCCCATGGAAGTGCTTCAGAGGAGGACTTGGATGGAACTGCCCTAGCATTTATTAGAAAGTCTTGACCCATAGCTTTCCACAGGTAGAGAAGAGATGTAGACCACCCATTACACAAGGCATCCCTAAGAACATTGAGGCAAATTGCTGCTGACCAGAAAGGCATCATTGCCATGGACAAAGTAATACCTGTGAACAATGCTGTGCCCATCTCAGGTTGTGCCCAGAGTTCTCCAGGCCCTGCATTTTCCCACCTGGAATCACAATGTCAGATTCCAGGTGCAGGAGGCATCTGTTGCTAAGTATCTAACCAAGTTTTACCCTCAATACCTGAGTTTCATACCTACCTGTGCTTGGGCACCTCTGTTTAGTCTTTGGCTCACCCAGTCCTCTTGCTTAGATGACACCCCTGTCTGCTCTGATTTTTACCAGTGAACACAGTGAAAGGGCCGCCCATTGATTCAACCTGAGCGGAGTCTGCAGTGTCTTCCTGCATCTTTCTCAGGGAGTCTGTGAAGAGGTTTATCACAGACCATTTGCCTCCAGTTGAGGGGTGGCTAACGAGAGCTTTTGTAAAGCCAAGAGAAGAGCAAGGCTGTAGGTTTATTAAAGACCACAGTGATGCACTAGGTGAAACATCTAGTCCAAACACCTTATTTATTGAGAAAGTCACAACTCAAAAAGGGCAGCAATAATGGCATGGAGTCCCCAGTTTGTCCCACAACCAGAAGGGTGCAGTGTGGCCAGAATGCACATTTGTGAAAGAAAAAATAGGTTGTTGTTCCAGTGTGGCAGAAGTTACATGTACATGTTCTGTTATGTTAGCTTAGCAACAAAAATCCAAGAGGTGTGATGACTGAATTAAAGAGACAGAGGAAGGAGTGAAAATGTTAAACAGTTGAGAGAAAGAGTGGGATCTTAAAGGTAAAGTTGGCGCCTTTTTTACTCCTTTGGTTTCAAAGGAGCAACTGATAACCTTGAGTAGAGATAACAGCTTAGTAATCTTGATCTCAACACCCATAAGTAATCAAATACAGCTGTAGGCAGGCAGGAGAACATACAGAGAGGGAGATTTATTTTCACTCCATAGTGGAAGATTGATGCTGAATTGATGCAATTTATTTGCCAGTTTCAATATATACAGAGCAATCTGAAGAGGTTTTAAACAAGGAGTCATAACAAAGAGAACACTTTGTGGGCTTATTTTTTTAGTGTTTTTCTTTGAGACAGAATCTTAACCTGTCACCCTGGATAGAGTGTTGTGATATCATAGTTCATAGCACCTCCAACTCCTAGGCCCAAGTGATCCTCTTGCCTCAGGGTTTCTATTTTTGTTGGAGATGGGGTCTCGGTTGTGTTCAGGCTGGTCTGGAACTCATAAGTTTAAGCAATCCAGCCAACATTGTCTCCCAGAATGGCAGAATTACAGGCCTGACCCACGGCCTCCAGTCCACTTTGTTGTTTTAATTAGAGATTCCCTTTCAATTAGACCAATTTGTTGACATACAAAGATGTTGATAAATCCACCTTTGCAAATACTATGCCTTACATAGACTATATTTGACATGCTGAAGCCCTGTGTTTGTTCCAAATTTTTCTGATTAAACCATGACTTATTTTAGGACAAACATTGCTATATCAGTTTTTGTCCTAGACAAAATCATTCCCTTACCCTTTAAGCTTCCTTAGGACCCATTGATTTTCATAGTCGTGAATTTGTTCACATTTCACTTCTACATTTTGGGTCCTTCTTGCTTCTTTTTTCTACTTTGAAATAAAGTTGCATCCTAGTTAAGTCTTTTCTTCATAAAGATGTGAGAAAGGAGGCCTGTGGATTTAAAAGATTCTAGCTTGAAAAGGAGACTTCATCCAAACAATGGGTTAGGGCAGTTGAAAAGCATCAAAAGGCTTAAAGAAAGACATCATCAACCAGTGAGCAGAGGGATTTTAATGATCACAAGGGTTTGTATTTTACCTTCCATTTTGAAGAGAGATATAGGAGAGGGAAGCAGAGGCTCTGAATGTCCAGGGAGAGCAGAGGAGAGACTCTAATGTTATGCACACCACTTTGTTTACTATCACAGAGAGACAGCTTGCCAACACCCCAGCTGAGCTTGTTCTGAAGTTGCAGTTTGTCCATCAGACTGAGAGAGCTTCAGAGGTTCAGTGCTGGTTCAGGGATTTGACAGGGTGTACAGTGGTTCTCAACTTTCCTAATGCTGTGATGTATTTTCATTGTTACAAAGGGGTCATGACCCACAGGTTGAGAACCACTGGGAGGGTGAATGTGATTCCCTGTCTCCAGGAGAGGGCAATGTCACTTCCACTGCACCTCTCTAATAGTCCCAGCACAGGCCCCTTCCTGAGCCATTTCTTACTCTCAGAACCAAGACTCGCAAGGCCCGGTGTCTTCTTGCCTGAGCTTTGCAGGTGTCCTCAAACTATGGCCCACAAGCCACATGTGGCCCGCCCATGACATTTATCTGGTCCACTGGGTGTTTTTGCCGCTGCTGCCTGTCCTGCTTAGCTGCTGCCTGTCCTTTTAAACTATAGTCCAGCTCTCCAACGCTCTGAGGAACAATGAACTGGCTCCCTGTTTAAAATGTTTGAGGACCCCTGCTAGGGGAACTCAGTGTCTGACAACCTTCTTCCCTAGTGATAGAAACCATTTCAAAAGGTTCCTTCTGCTCTTAAGATCGGCTAATGGGGCTCAGTGTCTGTAGCTCAAGCAGCATATACCAGAGCTGGAGGGTTCGAATCCAGCCTGGGCCTGCCAAACAAAAAGGACAACTATAACAACAACAACAAAAATAGCCGGGCATTGTCAGGGGCACCAGTAGTTCCAGCTACTTGGGAGGCTGAGGCAAGAGAATTGCTTAAGCCCAAGAGTTCCAGGTTGCTGTGAGCTATGATGCCAAAGCACTCTACCCAGGGGGACAGCTTAAGACTCTGTCTCAAAACAAACAAACAAACAAACAAACAACAAAAACAAGTAAACAAAAAACCCCAAAAGATCTGCTCATGGCCTGGCGTTCTCTCATTATCTACTGATCCCTATTCTGGTTATCAATACCTTAAACCTGGTCTAACAATCTGCATGTGGGGTCTGAGACCCCTTTTTAAACTTTTGAATATCAGCACTAAGTGGGAGATGAAGTGCATTGTCAAGGTGAGGAAGGAAAAAGCAGATGAAGCAGGGGCAGGTAAGGAGCTACATTACCTGGAAGTGAAGACGGCCAGAGAGATGTAGGAGTAACAAATAATATGCAGCGGGCAGTGAATTCAGAATGTCTGTTGTTCCATTAGCTTATCTTGCTGAAGATGCGTATTTTCCTCCCAGATAGTAACACCAAAATGTCAGCTATTAGGGGACCAGAGGTGAGGTATGTGTTCCATTTTTTTGTTCCAGATGCCAAAGAATGGTTATTACAACCGAGACAGTGAAACAATGAGCAGAATAAGCAGATACAAGTGTGCAAAAGTGCAAAGATTATAAAGGACTCTACACTCCAGAGAAGGAACACATCTACATTTCCAAGTGGAAGAGACTCTGGGATTAGCAAGATGTTTCCCCTTACGTGGATTTTCCAATTCTAGGTTAGTGGTGTGGGGGTAGACTATTCATGATATTTCTTGGAAATGGGGAAACCTTTCAGAATGGAGATGCCTCCCATTTCTATCCCTGTAATTAATGGACACTATTTATCATTGTAATTGTAGAGTATGATAGAACTGGTGTAAATTGTACTATGTTAATGACAATAGGTCACTTGAGCCTACTGTCATCTTCCTTGTATGCCCACTCCAAAGACTCCATTTTGGTGGCCTTGGCCATATCTCCACATTGTGTCCTCTCTACCTGTGAGACTCATTTTTGTAGAACAAACACCAGTTCAGTTTTGGGAAGCCTTCTTGAAATGTCAGCTCTTGTTTCTTGGAAGTCCCTGCTGCTCAATTTGTTCCTCTTAAATTATGGACAAAGACTCTCCTAGTATCATCTGCCTCTGTCTCTCCTTAGCCCTACCTAACAGGATAAACACAACTTTAAGGCCCTGAGACATGACTGACATTTGTAGAGTATTTCTTCCATTTGAATTAGGATTGGAAAAGCATAAGATATATTTAAAGATACTGTCACACTCTTTTTTTCTAGAGACATAGTCTCACTTTATTGCCCTTGGTAGAGTGCTGTGGCATCACAGCTCACAGAAACCTGCAACTCTTGGGCTTAGGTGATTCTCTTGCCTCAGTCTCCCAAGTAGCTGGGACTACAGGCACTTGCCACAATGCCTGGCTATTTTTTGTTTGCAGTTTGGCCAGGGCCTGGTTTGAACTCACCACCCTGAGTATATGGGGCCAGCACCCTACTCACTGAGCCACAGGTGCAGCCTGATCTTGTCACCGTCTTAACATATGTAGTATTTCTTTATGAATTCTGTTGTGTACTGAAATGAGTACTGGGTATAGGATTTGACACTTCTCATTTGTAAGGAATTTCTGTGGTATAAATTTTTAATTTATACAATAGTTTAAGGATTAAACAGCTGTCAATCTCTTCATATTTGTAGAGTTTTTCTTCAACATGAATTCTGTTGTGTACAGGAAACAGTGCCTACTGGAATGAGGCTTTGCTACATTTTCACATTGTTACCATTTTTCTCTGCTATGATTTCTCTTCTGTTTAATAAGACTGAGGACCACTGAAAACCTTTGCCACATAATTCACATTTCTAAGATTTCCCTCCACTATGAATGTTCTTATATATTGTAAGGTTTGAGCTCTGGTTAAAGTCATAGCCACACTGTTCACATTGGTAGGATTTCTCTCCAGTTTGAATTATTTTATGCTTAGCATGCTATGAACACGAGGTAAAGGCACAGCCACAGTCTGCATCTGGAGGGTTTCTCCCTTGTGTGATTTCTGCTACATACAGTGAGGATTGAATGTGAGTTAGAATTTGCCCACTGTCCATATTTATATGATTTCTCTCCAGAATAAATTCATAAATGTCTAGAAAGGTTCACAAATGAATTAAAGGCTTTGCCACATTTTTGACCTTTGTAGAGTTTCTCTCCACAACAAATTCTTTCATGTGTACTACTAGTTGACCTACAGGAAAAGGCTTTGACACGTTTTTTAAATTTGTAAGGTTTATGCTCAGGGTAAATTCTTTGATGTTCAGGAAGGCGTGAGTACCAGTTAAAGGCTTTGCCACATTTTTGACATTTGTATAGTTTCTGGCTGTAGTGAACTCTTTGCTGTTCAGAAAGGTGTGAGTGCTGACTGAAGGCTTTGCCACATTCTTCTGTTGTAATGGGCTTCCCAGCCCATTTCCCTCCTCCTCCCTCCCCCCAGAGTTGACTCTGGGAACAAGGCAAGTCTCTCCTTCTTGGGTGGCCAAGAACATGCTTCTCAGTCTGCTCCCAGGCCCTCTCCTTCCCCCTATGGTTGCCAAGAACAGACTTCAGAACAAGAAAGCACAAACCCCCCCAAGTTCCCAGTGAGTGGACAATAGTGGAAAACCTGCCTAAGCTGTATCAATCATTATAACCATTGTGATTTAAGATGTATCCATTGTCAACCAAGTTGTAATCCCCCCTGCCTTAAGCTAACCAGCCATGTCTCGCCTTTGTACCTGTATGCTTGCTAAAAACTATAAAAAGCAACCTACCCCCTACTTCACAGCTGAATGCCCCTCAGAGCAGCAGCTCCTGCGGCAGGTATAATAAATGACCAATTAATTACATCGAAGTGGGGGTCTGACTCTATCCTTTCAGGTCATAGGGGGTACAACCTTTCACATTTGTAGGGTTTCTCTCCATAGTGAATTCTTTTATGTACAGAAAGGCTTGAGTACTGGTTAACAGTTTTGCCACTGATGTTGCCTGTGGCTCAAAGGAGTGGGGTGCCAGCCCCATATGCTGGAGGTGGTGGTTTCAAACCAAGCCCTGGTGAAAAAAAATGCAATAAATAAATAAATAAATAAAACATAAATTTAAAAGTTTTGTCACATTTTTGACATTTGTAAGGTTTCTCTACAGAGTGAATTCCATGATGTACAGAAAGGCTTGAGTAATGGTTAAGGGCTTTGCCACATTCTTGACATTTGTAGGGTTGCTCCCCACAGCAAATTCTTTTATGTACAGAAAGGCTTGAGTACTGGTTAAAGGTTTTGCCATATTCTTCTTTTATTCTTTTTTTTGTAGAGACAGAGTCTAATTTTCTCAACCTCGGTAGAGTGCCATGATGTCACACAGCTCACAGCAACCTCCAACTCCTGGGCTTAGGCGATTCTCTTCCCTCAGCCACCCAAGAAGCTGGGAATACAGGTGCCTGCCACAATGCCCAGCTAAGTTTTGCCATATTCTTGACATTTGTAGGGTTTTTCTCCAGAGTAAATTCTTAGATGTACAGAAAGCCTTGGGTACTAGTGAAAAGCATTGCCACATTCTTAACATTTGTAGGGTTTCTCTCCAGAGTGAATGCTTTTATGTCTAGAAAGGGTTGAGTGCTGGGTAAAGGCTTTGCCACATTCTTGACATCTGTAAG